GATCGATGCGTTGTAAAGTTAAAAAGCCTATCCAGCCTTGTGAAGCAAGAGGCAGTGGGAGAGGCAGAGCTGGATGCAGGAGGAGCGGAGCCCCTGTCTCCTTGGTGTGAGAGCAGGGCTCTTGGCCAGGGCTGGGCTTCCATGTGGCTTCCCTCAGACCTCCTCTTGCCCTTGTAAGCGATGGGTGTGCCCCGCGTAAACACGGATCTGCCAGCGCTGACATGCAGACTGGTGGAAATGCAATGGTCTTCCCTTTCCCCATCCACGCTTTTCCCTCCCACGGGTGTTGAACGGGAGAGGCAGTGGAGCAGCTGTGTGTAGGCTGCTCTCCTGTGGCGTTTAGGCAGAGGACCAAGGAGTGACTTGCATTCATAGAATCATAGAATCATTATGGTTGGAAGAGACCTCAAAGGTCATCAAGTCCAACCGTATACCTGATGCCACCATGTCCACTAAACCATGTCTTGAAGTGCCACATCTAAACGTTTTTTGAACACCTCCAGGGACGATGACTCCACCACCTCCCTGGGGAGCCCGTTCCAATGCCTAACAACTCTTACAGTGAAGAAGTTCTTTCTAATGTCCAGCCTGAACCTCCCCTGGCGCAACTTGAGACCGTTTCCTCTCGTCCTATCGCTAATTACTGTGCAGAAGAGCCCAATCCCCACCTCACTACCCCCTCCTTTCAGGTAGTTGTAGAGGGCGATCAGGTCTCCCCTCAGCCTCCTCTTCTCCAGACCAAACAGCCCCAGCTCCCTCAGCCGCTCCTCGTAAGGCTCATGTAACCTAATGGCTCAGCATGTGGGATGGGACACAGTTTTAGATTATAGCAGAAAATTAGAAAAAAAATCCCTAGTTGTAGGAGACTTGAAGAGCATATGATGAGGTGGATGTGCCGAGGAGCTCTGGGTCTGTCCCTCCCATTTTTCATGAGTGGTGGGCTTCGCCTGCTGGGCCGCCTTTGAGTCATGTGCAAAGCCACCATGACTGTCCTGGTAGCTTCTGCGGTGCAAAAAGAGGGGTGGCCAAAAAGTTGCTTAAGAAAAGGAGGAGACCTGTTTGCGCTGAGCCTTTTATGCAGCATTGCTGGTGTCAATGCAATATATATTTAAGACTGCTCAGACTCCCTTCCAAAAACAGGAAAAGCTACAAAGATTAGGCTCAGAGGAAATAAATTGTCCTGTCACCTGAGGATGTCCGTATTT